GGTGCAAAACAAACCATGATTTATGAAGAGAAGTGTACAGAAAGTAGGGAAACCCCGGGGAAAAGATAAACAGACAACAAACACCTCAGTGGTTTAACCATACAGGCATGAAGCCTGGCTCCCAACTATCCTTGGCAATCCTGTGGGTTTTATACTTGCAGGTCCTGATGGCAGAGGCAAGCAGAAGACGGACAGCAGCTGCTGACCACTGGAACCAGTCACCAGGCAATCCATGGGCCCCACTTCTTCTGTCCCAAAGTAGCTTGAGCAGGAGGAACATGGAACCAGAGCAGATGTTGTTGCTCAGGACCACTCTTCGATCTTCTCCAGGCAAGTGATGCGGGTGTTGACGGTCCTCGACTTTATCAATGAAGGGCTGCTAGTGTGGATGCGCTCTGCCGACACAAGGAGCACAGTTTGGACATGCAACAGTGGTATAATTAAAGCGGCATAACTTCTGTCAACAAAACTCTGTAGTGTAGACATAGCCTCAGCCTGTTCCTGCCTTTCCCCAGGGAGAAAAATCCATTGGCTTGAACGTTGTTCCGATGCTGGAGTTTTCCTTTTTGTAGCTTTCCCACAGACCCTGTTGCATATACATATGTACCTACATAGACACATCTCCTTACCCTTTTCCTTACGGAACATTATATCAGAGAAGCCACAGTAGATACCTCCTGTCACTCAGGCCCTCTCTATGCTGTACCCTCTTGCCCTAAACTATTTCCACCCTTTATACCATGGGTCACAGCCAGTGAGAGGCGTATCTCTGAGAGCTCTAGAGTGGACAAAGCTCCAGGGACTCCAGGCGTTGTTACCACCACATTATCTGAATCAGCTCACAGCAGCATCAAGCTCAGCTACCTCTTCCACCAGAGCTGCTGTTGTGACAGCCACACCAGGGCTAGATCAATTCTCAGTCCAGGCACCGGGGCCCCTTTTGAGTGTGGGCCTGGTGCTACGGTGGCAGTTCAATCATGGGAAGTTCCCCACCAATTGCCAGGGTAGATGCTGCAGACAGGAGCTCTCAGCTCACTCCCTACTAATTCTGACTGAGAGGTTTAGCTCTTTACTTAGGGTATGTCTACACTACGGAATAAGGTCGAATTTATAGAAGTCGTTTTTTTTAGAAATCGGTTTTGTATATTCGAGTGTGTGTGTCCCCACAGAAAATGCTCTAAGTGCATTAAGTGAATTAACTCGGCGGAGCGCTTCCACAGGACCGAGGCAAGCGTCGACTTCCAGAGCATTGCACTGTGGGTAGCTATCCCACAGTTCCCGCAGTCTCCGCTGCCCATTGGAATTCTGGGTTGAGATCCCAACGCCTGACGGGGCTAAAACATTGTCGCGGGTGGTTCTGGGTACATATCGTCAGGTCCCCGTTCCCTCCCTCCCTCCGTGAAAGCAAGGGCAGACAATCGCTTCGCGCCTTTTTTCCTGAGTTACCTGTGCATACCACGGCAAGCATGGAGCCCGCTCAGGTAACCGTCACCCTATGTCTCCTGGGTGCTGGCAGACACGGTACGGCTTTGCTACACAGTAGCAGCAACCCATTGCCTTCTGGCAGCAGATGGTGCAGTACGACTGGTAGCCATCCTTGTCGCGTCCGAGGTGCTCCTGGCCACATCGGCTGGGAGCGCCTGGGCAGACATGGGCACAGGGACTAAATTTGGAGTGACTTGACCAGGTCATTCTCTTTAGTCCTGCAGTCAGTCCTATTGAACCGTCTTATGGTGAGCAGGCAGGCGATACGGACTGCTAGCAGTCGTACTGTACCATCTTCTGCTGGGCAGGCAAGAGATGAGGATTGCTAGCAGTTGTATTGTACCATCTTCTGCCAGGCAGGCAAGAGATGAGGATGGCTAGCAGTCATACTGTACCATCTTCTGCCGAGCAGCCATGAGATGTGGATGGCATGCAGTCCTTCTGCACCGTCTGCTGCCAGCCAAAGATGTAAAAGATAGATGGAGTGGATCAAAACAAGAAATAGACCAGATTTGTTTTGTACTCATTTGCTTCCCCCCCTCCCCTGTCTAGGGGACTCATTCCTCTTAGGTCACACTGCAATCACTCACAGAGACGGTGCAGCGAGGTAAATCTAGCCATGTATCAATCAGAGGCCAGGCTAACCTCCTTGTTCCAATAAGAACAATAACTTAGGTGCACCATTTCTTATTGGAACCCTCCGTGAAGTCCTGCTTGAAATACTCCTTGATGTAAAGACACCCCCTTTGTTGATTTTATCTCCCTGAAGCCAACCCTGTAAGCCGTGTCCCCAGTCGCCCCTCCCTGCGTCAGAGCAACGGCAAACAATCGTGCATCTGAGTTGAGAGTGCTGTCCAGAACAGTCACAATGGAGCACTCTGATGGGGCTAAAACATTGTTGCGGGTGGTTCTGGGTACATATTGTCAGGCCCCCGTTCCCTCACTCCCTCCGTGAAAGCAAGGGCAGACAATCGTTTCGCGCCTTTTCTCCTGAGTTACCTGTGCAGACGCCATACCATGGCAAGCATGGAGCCCGCTCAGGTAACCGTCACCATTTGTCTCCTAGGTGCTGGCAGACGTGGTACGGCATTGCTACACAGTAGCAGCAACCCATTGCCTTCTGGCAGCAGACGGTACAGTACGACTGGTAGCTGTCATCGTCATGTCCGAGGTGCTCCTGGCCACGTCGGCTGGGAGCTCCTGGGCAGACATGGGCGCAGGGACTAAATTTGGTGTGACTTGACTAGGACTTTATTGCCTCTGCAAGCGGTGATCGAAGGGAGGAGGGGAGGGTGGTTAGCTTACAGGGAAGTAGAGTGAACCAAGGGGCTTTAGTCTTTAGTCCTGCAGTCAGTCCTATTGAACTGTCTTATGGTGAGCGGGCAGGCGATACGGATTGCTAGCAGTCCTATTGCATCATCTTCTGCCGGGCAGGCAAGAGATGAGGATGGCTAGCAGTCGTACTGCACCATCTTCTGCTGAGCAGCCATGAGATGTGGATGGCATGCAGTCCTTCTGCACCGTCTGCTGCCAGCCAAAGATGTAAAAGATAGATGGAGTGGATCAAAACAAGAAATAGACCAGATTCGTTTTGTACTCATTTGCCTCCTCCCCCATCTAGGGGACTCATTCCTCTAGGTCACACTGCAGTCACTCACAGAGAAGGTGCAGTGAGGTAAATCTAGCCATGTATCAATCAGAGGCCAGGCTAACCTCCTTGTTCCAATAAGAACAATAACTTAGGTGCACCATTTCTTATTGGAACCCTCCGTAAAGTCCTGCCTGAAATACTCCTTGACGTTTTAGCTCCCTGAAGCCAACCCTATAAGCCGTGTCATCAGTCGCCCCTCCCTCCATCAGACCAACGGCAAACAATCGTTCCGCGCCTTTTTTCTATGCAGACGCCATACCACGGCAAGCATGGAGCCCGCTCAGCTCACTTTGGCAATTAGGAGCACATTAAACACCACACACATTATCCAGCAGTATATGCAGCACCAGAACCTGGCAAAGCGATACCGGGTGAGGAGGCAACGTCAGCGCGGTCATGTTAGTGATCAGGACATGGACACAGATTTCTCTGAAAGCATGGGCCCTGCCAATGCAGGCATCATGGTGCTAATGGGGCAGGTTCATGCTGTGGAACGCCGATTCTGGGCTTGGGAAACAAGCACAGACTGGTGGGACCGCATAGTGTTGCAGGTCTGGGACGATTCCCAGTGGCTGCGAAACTTTCGCATGCGTAAGGGCACTTTCATGGAACTTTGTGACTTGCTTTCCCCTGCTCTGAGGCGCATGAATACCAAGATGAGAGCAGCCCTCACAGTCGAGAAGCGAGTGGCGATAGCCCTGTGGAAGCTTGCAATGCCAGACAGCTACCGGTCAGTTGGGAATCAATTTGGAGTGGGCAAATCTACTGTGGGGGCTGCTGTGATGCAAGTAGCCAACGCAATCAAAGATCTGCTGATATCAAGGATACTGACCCTGGGAAATGTGCAGGTCATAGTGGATGGCTTTGCTGCAATGGGATTCTCTAACTGTGGTGGGGCCATAGACGGAACCCATATCCCTATCTTGGCACCGGAGCACCAAGCCGCCGAGTACATAAACCGCAAGGGGTACTTTTCAATAGTTCTGCAAGCTCTGGTGGATCACAAGGGACGTTTCACCAACATCAACGTGGGATGGCCGGGAAAGGTACGTGACGCTCGCATCCTCAGGAACTCTGGTCTGTTTCAAAAGCTGCAGGAAGGGACTTTATTCCCAGACCAGAAAATAACTGTTGGGGATGTTGAAATGCCTATATGTATCCTTGGGGACCCAGCCTACCCCTTAATGCCATGGCTCATGAAGCCGTACACAGGCAGCCTGGACAGTAGTCAGGAGCTGTTCAACTACAGGCTGAGCAAGTGCAGAATGGTGGTAGAATGTGCATTTGGACGTTTAAAGGCACGCTGGCGCAGTTTACTGACTTGCTTAGACCTCAGCAAAACCAATATTCCCACTGTTATTACTGCTTGCTGTGTGCTCCACAATGTCTGTGAGAGTAAGGGGGAGATGTTTATGGTGGGGTGGGAGGTTGAGGCAAATCGCCTGGCTGCTGGTTACGCGCAGCCAGATACCAGGGCGGTTAGAAGAGCACAGGAGGGCGCGGTACGCATCAGAGAAGCTTTGAAAACCAGTTTCATGACTGGCCAGGCTACGGTGTGAAAGTTCTGTTTGTTTCTCCTTGATGAAACCCCCCGCCCCTTGGTTCACTCTACTTCCCTGTAAGCTAACCACCCTCCCCTCCTCCCTTCGATCACCGCTTGCAGAGGCAATAAAGTCATTGTTGCTTCACATTCATGCATTCTTTATTCATTCATCACACAAATAGGGGGATGACTACCAAGGTAGCCCACGAGGGATGGTGGAGGAGGGAAGGAAAATGCCACACAGCACTTTAAAAGTTTACAACTTTAAAATTTATTGAATGCAAGTCTTCTTTTTTGGGGGCAATCCTCTGTGGCAGAGTGGCTGGTTGGCCGGTGGCCCCCCCCCACCGCGTTCTTGGACATCTGGGTGAGGAGGCTATGGAGCTTGGGGAGGAGGGTGGTTGGTTACACAGGGACTGTAGTGGCAGTCAGTGCTCCAGCTGCCTTTGCTGCAGCTCAACCATACACTGGAGCATACTGGTTTGGTCCTCCAGCAGCCTCAGCATTGAATCCTGCCTCCTCTCATCACGCTGCCACCACATTTGAGCTTCAGCCCTGTCTTCAGCCCGCCACTTACTCTCTTCAGCCCACCACCTCTCCTCCCGGTCATTTTGTGCTTTCCTGCACTCTGACATTATTTGCCTCCACGCATTCGTCTGTGCTCTGTCAGTGTGGGAGGACAGCATGAGCTCAGAGAACATTTCATCACGAGTGTGTTTTTTTTTCTTTCTAATCTTCACTAGCCTCTGGGAAGGAGAAGACCCTATGATCATTGAACCACATGCAGCTGGTGGAGGAAAAAAAGGGACAGCGGTATTTAAAAAGACACATTTTATAAAACAGTGGCTACACTCTTTCAGGGTAAACCTTGCTGTTAACATTACATACATAGCACATGTGCTTTCGTTACAAGGTCGCATTTTGCCTCCCCCCACCGCGTGGCTACCCCCTCAACCCTCCCTCTTCCCTGTGGCTAACAGCGGGGAACATTTCTGATTAGCCACAGGCAAACAGCCCAGCAGAAATGGGGTCCTCTGAGTGTCCCCTGAAGAAAAGCACTCTATTTCAACCAGATGACCATGAATTATATCTCACTCTCCTGAGGATAACACAGAGAGATAAAGAATGGATGTTGTTTGAACGCCAGCAAACATACACTGCAATGCTTTATTGTACAATGATTCCCGAGTACGTGTTACTGGCCTGGAGTGGTAAAGTGTCCTACCATGAAGGACACAATAAGGCTGCCCTCCCCAGAAACCTTTTGCAAAGGCTTTGGGAGTATATACAGGAGAGCCGCGAATGCCAGGGCAAAGTAATCCTTTCACATGCTTGCTTTTAAACCATGTATAGTATTTTAAAAGGTACACTCACCGGAGGTCCCTTCTCCACCTGCTGGGTCCAGGAGGCAGCCTTGGGTGGGTTCGGGGGGTACTGGCTCCAGGTCCAGGGTGAGAAACAGTTCCTGGCTGTCGGGAAAACCGGTTTCTCCGCTTGCTTGCTGTGAGCTATCTACAACCTCATCATCATCATCATCTTCTTCGTCCCCAAAACCTGCTTCCATATTGCCTCCATCTCCATTGAAGGAGTCAAACAACACGGCTGGGGTAGTGGTGGCTGAACCCCCTAAAATGGCATGCAGCTCATCATAGAAGCGGCATGTTTGGGGCTCTGACCCGGAGCGGCCATTCGCCTCTCTGGTTTTCTGGTAGGCTTGCCTCAGCTCCTTCAGTTTCACGCAGCACTGCTTCGGGTCCCTGTTATGGCCTCTGTCCTTCATGCCCTGGGAGATTTTGACAAAGGTTTTGGCATTTCGAAAACTGGAACGGAGTTCTGATAGCACGGATTCCTCTCCCCTTACACCGATCAGATCCCGTACCTCCCGTTCGGTCTATGCTGGAGCTCTTTTGCGATTCTGGGACTCCATCATGGTCACCTGTGCTGATGAGCTCTGCATGGTCACCTGCAGCTTGCCACGCTGGCCAAACAGGAAATGAGATTCAAAAGTTCGCGCTTCTTTTCCTGTCTACCTGGCCAGTGCATCTGAGTTGAGAGTGCTGTCCAGAGCGGTCAAAATGGAGCACTCTGGGATAGCTCCCAGAGGCCAATACCGTCGAATTGTGTCCACAGTACCCCAAATTCGAGCCGGCAAGGCCGATTTAAGCGCTAATCCACTTGTCAGGGGTGGAGTAAGGAAATCAATTTTAAGAGCCCTTTAAGTCGAAATAAAGGGCTTCATCGTGTGGACGGGTGCAGGTTTACATCGATTTAATGCTGCTAAATTCGACCTAAAGTCCTAGTGTAGACCAGGGCTTACTCAGCCACTTTTACTGAAAATTTCGACACCAACATCTTGGTGCGTCATCATATGCTGTTCCAGCAGATGAGCAGGGGTCAGTGCATTCATTACCTGCGCTGATTTGTGTTACACAATGCTTGCAGAGCATGTTGGAAAGATTTTAAGCTATTAACAGTTCTGTCTGTTCGATGCAGAAGTAATCATTCCCACTAGAAAGCTAGGCCAAAATACTCACTGTGGGCAGATTCTACCACCCCTCTACCCCCACATTCTGTAGTTCTCTTCCTCTGCAGGTAGATCCATTGGAATGATTTTTTTCTTTTTTCTTTTTTTTTTTTTTTTACAGAAACGATCTGTCAAATCTGACATGATTTCATTAAATGTTTTGTTTGTCATGGGTGCACAGGCTTGGTGCTCTGGAATGGCTCTGAATGAAGTTCAGACAGGACCCTCTTGCAGCATGACAACTCCTCAGGGCACACTCTCACTTGGCTTCAGCACCTCCTTGGATCTCTTCCAACCTTGGAGCATTCAGCACCCCTGTTTGTGCCATGAGCTCCCCACACTGGGGAAGTCTTACATGCCCCCAAAAGGGCCATGTACCCCAACTTCACAGTCAGCAGTGACTCTCAGCCAGCTAGGTAAAACAGAAGGGTTTATAGTCGTCTGGAACACAGTGTAGAACAGATCTTGTTAGCACAGAAAGCAGGAAGGTTCAGCAAAGTCCATCCATTAAATCGTCAGCTTCAGACTTGTCATAGCCACAGGAACTCAAACTTTGTACAGTTTGACTTGTGCAGCAGGCAGGCTGCCCTGGGGTTCTGGCCAGAGAGAAGGACTCCCCCACCCGGCACTCACCCAAGCCCAGACTCCATTCATCCCACCTGCAGAACCAGATTGCAGTATCCAGCCTGACTCATAAAAGACCTCCCCCGTCAGCCTCTGCTTGAACCAAAGCCCATCAGAAGAAAGACTTACAAAAAGCAATAAAATGGCAGTAGGAGGCAAACCTAAGCCCCTCCAGACAAGGTTGACAGGATTAAGGAAACTCCCCTAACCTCATTTGCATCAAAGATGGGACAGGGAGGCATCTCCGTTAGCATACAGCATGGAGAACAGAGATTCCAAGGCAAGAACCGCACTGAACTCTGGGACCAGGAAAGCAGGGAAGCACTGCAACCTGGGGATCTCTGCTCCAGATGTGAATGAATCCATGCCTGCACACACCCGCTTATCAGACCAATTCCAGCAATAAATCCTCTATTGGTATCCAAAATACTGAAGCTGCCTAATTGCATTATGAGCTCCCTGGAAGGAGCACCACCAACAGACAGGAACGATCAGTTCCTATTGTCTAGCCTGAACAAAACAACTTTGGTATACTCCCTTGAATCATCAGTTTACCCAGACAAATTTAGTGTTATTTCCCTGCAAAAACCCAGACTCACTCTCAAGTATGGGCTCTGATGCCTGGATCCAAATTTTGTATCAGTTCCATTCGGACTTCATCTTCTCCTGACTGGTTGTGCTGGGGGCTCTGCCTGTCTCCAGCACTCCGGACACCACCTGGGAACCCTGATTGAGTCACGCTTCACGGAATGGTGAGAACCCACCCCTCTCTTTCTCTCGGTACAGCCTTCTGACCATGACTTGTGGGATCAGTTATAGTTTGCTAAACCTAACTTTCCGAATCAAATTTAAGTTAGATTTAATATTATAACTGTTTTGTTTGGCTTCTCAAACATGTCAGAAACAAACCAGGAGCTTGATGGTTTGTTTCTGACATGTATCCTGAACAAAGGGCAGGTTGAATTAGGGTTTATCCAACCTGTAACAAAACCCTCCCCTCTCAGAAAGGAAATAATTTAACAAATTACCATTGATACAGTCTTCGGTATCTACATATTGACATAGCACCTTTCTGTCAGGATGGTTTTCACACCAACTCCAATTTGATCTTACAAAACATTGCATAGGAGATGGGAGTTTTCCGGCCATGAGCAGACAGCATCCCCTCCCCATACTACAGTAAAAGCTGTCTTCCAAGATGGCTGTGTTTGCCAATGATTTTCCAGTCATACCCCACACTGATATCTAGGTCTGCTATTTGGGAAGCTTTTTGTTGTTCTGGAGTCCACTCCTGCAAACCCCCCATTCACTGATCCAACAGTTGAGCCAGGAGTACTTGCATTTCTGCAAGTTATGGGGACAGTGAGGAAACAAGCATTTCTTCCTATCACGCCCATCCCCCTGTGGCACCAATTCCTTGCTCTCTGCTTGGGGCAGTGTTTGCCGTTCCCATCTCAACAAGGCCATCTAGCCATGTGCCCAGCCCTGTGTGGGATTGAGAAATCGTAGCTCTGCAGTGCTGCTAACCACACAGCAAGTTGCCCCTCAGGATTCCTGACTCTAAAGAGCCATTTCAGAGACGCATGCTCTGTCCTGATCATAAACATCCTCCCATCCAAACCATGCTGAAAACATTGTATCGATTTTTCCACTGCCAGGAGCTCCCTTGGGCTCGTGCCATCATTTCTCTCTGGCAAACTTGGACTTTAAATAATCAGAGCCTGGTGTGATGGGTTCTCTCATCGGGACCCCCTTGGGACTGTCACTGAGTATGCTGAGATACCACTGAGCTTAACCTTTCTGCCAACCTGGGCACCCCTCAACTCTGTCTTGCTGAGCCACACCCGCCAGGCCTCTTCCAGCACAGACTCAGGGACTGGGCCACACCCCTCTGCAGAATACAGACACTGAGATCAACTCTGGGAAGACTCAGTTAAAGGGACGTGCCTGAGCACCCCAATGCACAGCTTTTCTGGGAGCCTGAACTCCAGATAAATTTGTGTCAGACTGTATAAAGTTTCATACAGCATAAGTTCATATTATTCGCCCTCTTTCTTGAAGTAAAGAGAGATATGCACAGAGTGCCTCCCAGGTAACAATTATTTAAACTGGGTTTATTAATAAACAAGAGTGGTTTTATTAAGTATAAAAGGTAGGATTTAAGTGATCATAAGAGGTAACAAACAGAACAAAGAAAGTTACTAAGCAAAATAAAACAAACACGCAAGGCTAAGCTTAATACACTAAGAAACTGGTTACATGTAATCTCATCCTCAAATCATAGAATCATAGAATATCAGGGTTGGAAGGGACCTCAGGAGGTCATCTAGTCCAACCCCCTGCTCAAAGCAGGACCAATCCCCAACTAAATCATCCCAGCCAGGGCTTTGTCAAGCCTGACCTTAAAAATATCTAAGGAAGGAGATTCCACCACCTCCCTAGGTGTTCTAATAAGCTTCTTTCACAGACTAGACTCATTTCTAGTCTGGGCCCAATCCTTCCCCCTGTTCAGTCTCTGTTAATTCCAGCAGACATCTTAGGTGGTAAGCAGGGTTATCCTCCTCACTCCTTCTCTGTCCTGCTTCACACCCTTATATAGATTTGGCAAAAGGCAGAAATCCTTTGTCTCTTTGTTTAAACTTTTCTCACGCCTCGTGGAAAAATATAAAATCCAAGGCTGGGAGGTCTGGAGAGACAGTCCAACCTGGTGCAGAGCAGAGGCCCAGGGAGTAGAGCTGGAGATGGTGTTTTTTAAACACTGATGGTTGCATGCCCCGGTCTATCACATTACTGTAATCGAGCCAAGAGGTGGTGAATAGATGTGGAACCCTTCTACCAGGTGGAGCCAGCACCAGCCAGGGCCAGGTTCAATATCTAAGGATTCCTTTCCATCAATACAACACAGAACTGACTCGAGCTCTCACCCAGTAACCTGGGAAATTTACACACTGGGCACCTCTGAAAGGCAATACTTCCCCATGGGCAAGCACCCAGTCTGAGTGTAGAAAAGAAACTTTTAATAAAAGGAGGGAAGTAACCTGGAATTAATTTGGGAAAACACCACAGACAGGGTTCATAAACATAAACCATGAGTAAAAGCCCCACCCCAAGTATGTTGGGCAGAGTCTTTTTCCCCTCAGGTTCTTAAGTCCAGCAACCCAAAAGTCCCCTTCCCATGCCTGACCCTTCTCTTGACCCCACTCACAGTTGCTGTCTTTGGTCAGTGCAGACCCAGAGTTCAGAGGTGCATCTGCAGAGTTCATCTCCCACCCTGGGTGTGGGGTAAAGAGGCATCTTACTCACTCTGCTGGCTGCTCGCTGGCCACCTGCTCACTGCTCTCCACCGCCGCCCTGCTGGCTTCCCCTCTCCGCCGCCACCCTGCTGGCTGCTCATCGCACCTCTTTGGCACCACCCTGCTGGCCACCTACTCCCTGCTCCCCCGGGGCAGTCTCTTAGTGCTTTTCGCTCTGTGTAATCCGGGCCGAAACACAGTCTTGCCACAAGTGATTTTACTTCTGATTAAGCAAATTAAAAACAACACAGTTGAACAGTGGGAAGAAATAGGGTGACCCAGTCTTACCACAAACCCTTTAGAACATGCAACCTACTGGTTGAGAGTCCTGTCCCCCCATCTCTTACTTTCATTGGGCTCTGACATTCAAGCCCTTGTCTGACTGAGGTTCTTTCACTGAGAGTGACTCCCTCCCTTGGGACAGGTTAAGCACGGTCCTGCTTTTCTGTATTCCCACAATAATTACAATAGTGGTGACCATATTTCACTACCCCTGCATTCAGTACTAACATAATTTGTGACCCAACACCAGCCAAGTTGATTACAGTGAGTAAAACACCACTCCATCAGCTGAATATCTAGCAAATCTAAGCAAAGCAGGAGCAAAGTGTATTTACATAAACATACCCAGGGTCTCTCCCCCATCCCCAGCCAGCTGTCAGCATCCTGGGAAATGCCCAATTTAGGTACCTGTCTGGGGAAGTCAAAGTGCCGCAGACTGGCTGAGTACCACCCTGGAGGGAGGGACTCAGACTGGCCTGGAGACTACTGTGTGCCCTGATTCAAGGGATTTGGGTTTGATTCCTGGCTCTGTCCAAGACCCTTTCTCTCTGTGCCTACTTGGTGCCATGGCAGAAAGGAAGCGCTTCTGTGGATCTCAACAGCAGGAGGAGATCTCATCCCTTCCTGCTGCCAAAGTACCAGCCCCAGCCTCGCAAGTCAGAGGGGAATATTTATTGCATGAGGATCTTTATTTAATCTTTGTTGGTAGAGGATCTATGACACACACAGCTGCATAGATCTCAATCCACCACTGCTTGTGGAGTCAGTTTCCCGCTCCCTGGGGATACCCACAGTTGTGAGGAACCTGCCCTTAGCGTGAAGCAGCTGTGGCCATGCTGGCCGGGGGTCAGCTCCCTGACTCTCCAAGCCACGGGCAACACACGCCCTCCCCTCTCAGCCCAAGAAGGCTCTGCTGTCTCTCCTCAGCTTAGAGAGAAGCACAATCCTTCGAGCCTCCCCCGGGAGTGCCCAGCCCCTGGTTCCCTGGACACTCATCAAATCACCAGGCCTGCAGTTCCCATAGCAACAGTACACCCAGCGCACTGGTTACCCCTTGAAGTACAGCTCCGTGTGACACACAGCATCTACAGTCTTTTATAGAGGAAGCCGTTCTAAGTATAACGAAGGGCAGAGAGTCAAAGGGTAGCAAACAGGACACAACGGGTGACAGGTGCACTAAAATCCTAACATGTTCCACAGCTTAAGTGC